AGGCGCACCACATTCAGAGGCTGCTCTGTCCGCGAGGAGCTCAGACTCCCCGTGGACAGGGGTTGCTGCCAGGGACCAACCTCTGTCCATGGCCAACCCAGGTCCTGGCACCCCATGCTGCTGCCTCTGAGCAGCGTGGAGTGGCAGGGGACTTCCTGTCAGTGGGGCGGAGTGCACTAGCTACCAGCCCCACCCCTGGGAATATCAAATAGTCGTGTAACCGATAAGAATTCATGTGGTTACACGACTATTCAATTACCTGATATCTAACATCCCTACACTACATATCTCATTTATTCACAGGCACAGTATAGCCAGCAGTAATGAAAGTGCATCAACATTTCCTCACCAATACACCACCACCAGGCTCAGGACGGAGAACTCTTAACATGTGTCAGAAGGCAGATCAGTCTTCCTGTCTCAATACTTTATTTGCTAGGATCTGGACCAAACACTAATATTGAAGGATCAGCTCACAACTTAGACACTGCAGATCTATTTGCAAGGGACTGAGGCCAAGCCAAACCCTGAGAAAAGTTCAAGTTCATACAAACTGTGGAGGTATCATCAAAAACAGTCACCATCTCTGTAGGCCAGTGGGACTCAGGGAGGGGCTCCTCTCCCTTGGGGTCAGTAGGTAGCCACTCCATTCCACTATACTCCGCTCAGTTCTCATGGGGAATCAGGTGTGGCTGCCAATCCATGAGAGTAGTCCAGAGACCCACACGCAGTCTGTAACAAAAGTCTTTGAGCACTGGCCCTCGTTCAGGGCAGGGTGACAATAGCCCCCAAGACCGTCCTCAGGCCGGATCCTAGTTCAGGGCAGAGTGACAGGCAGCCAAACGGTCAGTTCAATGCCCAGTCCCTGGTTCAGAGTGGAGTGGCAGGAAAACAGTTTTAGGGCCCAAGTCCTGGTTCAGGGCAGGGCAACAGGAAAACAATCAATTCAAGTCCTGTTCACAGCTTCTCCAACCAGGTCCCCTTGCTCAGGCAGGGGTCCGGCTGATGCAACAGCAGAGGGGGGAGACTGCCACCCAAAAGCAGGGTTTCAAGGGGGAAACAGGCCCATCCACTCTACTCCCAGCCCAAGGCCCTAGTTGCAGCCAAGTGGTCTGCTGCTGAGTCAGCGGGGATCCGTTCTGCAACATGCTGACCTGGTTCTAGCAAAACGAAGGTCGGCCTCCCTGTGCTCTTTCCGTTTCTCCCCTCGGGCTGTACCTGGGTCCAGTGCAAGTTCTCTGGGCACTGTTGTTCAGGAACCTCTGGCTGGGTAAAACAGACTCTCCAGGAAGTCATCTAGTAGTGGGCCCAATAGCCCAGGCCAGTCCTGGGCTTCCCCTGGGTCTAGCTCCTTGCTTGGGTGCGCAGGGGAGGCTTCTGACTTCTCTGGTTATGGGGGCTTGCCTGGCCTCTCTGGCAGGCCTTTTGTATCCCTCACCCCGTCTCCTGGCTTCTGGTGAGGTAGGTTGCTAGGGCTCCTCACCCTCGGGGTCAGTGGGCGGCCACTACGCCCCATTACAATCCCATTTACTAGAAAACATAAATGTACTAGATGCTAAGTGCATTGCAAGATTAAGTACAGTACAAGATTTGAACAAACAAAGCATCAGCAATGAAATATGCTGAATTCCAGACCAGCAAAGTCTTGATGCAAAGTCTTTATTTTTATGCTCTAAGCTGGTCACTTACAGTAATACTTAACACTTAATTCTTCTTGATTGCGGCCTTTCCCGATGATATCTGGTAAATTATATCTAATGTCTAACATTTATTAGACATTATTTTCAGGGCTTTAATTTGGGTCTGTTTCCAGTGTTTAACCTCAACTACTTCTGCACGCATGCAAGCCCTGAAATACTCCTCCATGATAACTACAGAGCCCCCTTAGAAGCTAACATTGGCACTGAAAGCGTATGAGAAAAGGATTGAGCCCTGAGAATAAGTCTATCAAGTTTTAGTTTGACTTGAAGGAAGCCAGTACATACTGCTGGCTGGTTTAGAATGAAAATACTGGTGGACAGTGGTTGAAATAAGTTAAAGAGGCAGACAGACGACCTTTCTTCTAATGGGTGTTAGATCTCCTCCTTCATAACCTTCAGGAACTTAGCATTGGGGACATGCATTGTGACAAAGCTTCATTAAGACGTCGTGCCAATATGCCCATGTGATGGTGCCCTAAACAGGGGATCTCCATCTCCTTTTGTGAACATGATAACCACTGCCAGCAGATCCCGCACTAAAGCATTGTTGATGGCAGAAACCTCTATAGTTTCTCTAAAAGGGTGGAGATTACTGTGACCTTTTAAATTTCTGATGTCTGTACTGGTTCCTGTGATTCTTTGGAATTTTTCAACTTGGTACTGTCACTCCTGCTACTGAGACTAGACTGAACCCTTAATGACAGACTCCTTGAGAAATCTCTACTATTCTTACTAGCCAATACATAGATGATTGGATCAGCAATGCTGTTAGCAGTGGAGAAACACAGAAATATAGCAGAAGTTGAATATATGCCACGTTCAAATGAACATGTGTCATTCTGATACAAAAAAAAGTAAATGGCTCTTATTAGAAGCACCAGATGATAGGGAGCAAAGCAGATCAGAAAAATGGCGATGGCCGCAGCAGCTAAGTGCTTTGCTTTGGTTTTTTGGGGCTCGTTCAAGCTGCAGCTTATTTTGATGATTTGGAAAATTTTGTAGTTTGTGAAAATGAGGATTATGCAAGGAATAGCAAATCCAATTAGGAACCTGGCAAAGCCGAAAGAAGCAAACGTCAAGTTGAGTGGTAGAGTCTCAAAGCAGGTTGTACAGTTTTTGTTATCGGGTAAAACAAATACTGGGATGTGGACCACTAAAACTACAGAAAAGAGAATAAACGTGATGAGCCCTGCAATTTTCTGACCCCTCACCCCCTTGGATTCCAAAGAATACACCACTCCTACATAGCGATCGACAGAAATGCAGCACAAGAGCAGAATACTGATATATACGTTGCAGAAAAAGATATATCCTGTTATCTTGCAAGCCAGTGGTCCCATCTCCCATATGTGTCCATTTTGTACATAGATAATCCAGAGGGGCAGGGTACACAAGTACATCACCTCGCTCAGTGATAAGCCAAAAAGGTAGACAGCGAGAATGTTTTCCTTTAGGATTAGTACAATGGTTAGACACATCGTTATAATATTAGTTGGCAAGCCTATGATAATAACAATATAGTAGATCACAGCCAACAGCGTCTGGCTCTCCTTGTAGGGCATTTTTTGGCAGCATTCCGAATCATTCCCGAGTCCCGGCATTATGGTGATGCCGTGTGGTGCAGAAACACCGGAGGAGCTTTCCCCTGTTTGTGTTGCCTGTGAATAAAAAGACACGATGGAAAGTTAGCAGCTATAAAAGATCTTTAAAAACATGACAGCAAAGGTAATGGTGAAGTTAAGCTAGCCCACAGTGAATTTGTGGGTGCTGCCCTGTTGCAAGTGGTTTTAAACCAGAGCTACTCCAATAGTGTAACTAAGTGGGGGATCAGGCATATTGAGATGTGACTTCTTTCTGTCTGCATTTCAGGGGTGCCTAGTAGGGATGTAAGTGACTAGTCGAGTAGTCGCTTGACTAGTTGCTTCTCCCACCCCTTGCTGTCTCTATCAGAGGTAGCAAGAGGGGGAAGCAGAAGTCGGTGCAGTGGGGAGCAAGCCAGCTCTGCTCAGCACCATCTCCGCAGGGGGCAGGGAAGGCAAAGGTGCAGCGGACCGGGCATGAGATGGGAAACTGGAATCCTGTGTCTCGATTAACTGATTAAATGCAATTTAATATCCTTTGTGCTTAGAAGCCCCAGCCACAGACCAGGGACCCCAGAGTGCTAGGTGCTGTACAAACACCTAAGAAATGGATGGGCCCAGTCCCAAAGAGCTTTCAGGCTAAGCGAGTTTACACACCCTTCCTGCAGGGCCCACCCGATACCTACTCTTTCATGACTCTGACCTAGTCAAGGGATCTGTGACATACATGAGACTCTGCCTTTTCCTAATTGCCTGTTTTTGTGATCAGGTTTCTTTCCCCAGTTCCACAGCTGTACCACAGGCAGTGTGAGTAGTGCCAAATGCCTAACAGCCCTTCCTCCCCAACTTCTCCTACACACCCGACTTCTGATTTCCAACCTTAATGGAATGGTAGGGTAGCAACCTGATTAAGCTTTTCTGTAGCTGCCTGCTGTCCCAGTGCTTTGGCAGGGAGATAGGATATGCAGACCATTATTTCCCCTATGGAGGAGTCAGGGAAGGTTTTGGTTTGGGGACCCATGGCTAATACAGGGCCACACTGAGCATCAGTCATTTTCCCAGTTATGTATAACACAAGATTCATTTTCATACAGTTTCCCACTTAGCCATGACTACTTTTAAAAATTCCCAGAAGCAGGCTGTTCACTGGAGGTAGAATCTTACTCTGCACATGACGAGGAGATGCACTACCACTTGGGAGACTCTGCCTCAGAGCTCATGGGTGAGCATGGATACCGCACCCACTACTAAACCTGTGATGGGATGCAGCCAGATCCCTCCAGCATGCCAGGCCTGCTCCAGAAGCTGATATGTAAGCAGCCCAGATCACAGAATCCTAGGGCTGGAAGAGACCTCAGGAGGTCATCTAGCCCAACCCCCTGCCCAAAGCAGGACCAATCCCAACTAAATTATCCCAGCCAGGGCTTTGTCAAGCCGCGACTTAAAAACTTCTAGGGATGGAGATTCTACCACCTCCCTAGGTAACCCATTCCAGTGCTTCATCACCCTTCTAGTGAAATAGTTTTTCCTAAGTCTCTGATCACTAGCTCTCTGATGTGCCATGTCCAGAGAGGCAGTAGACCCCAAGTGCAGAAATTGATAATCTGCTTGGCCTTCTTGTGGCCTAATGGGCAGGGAGTGTTCCTTCTGCCCAGTCCTTGTCCTCCCCAAGATGTGCATCTGGGTAAATACCAAGCTGACTTTGATCCCAGCTAATTAAGTCTCATAACATCCTATGATAAGTATCAGAGATGGGAAAAACGGGCACAAGCCAGTGAAGTGTTCCAGGTTGCACTGGAAGCCCATAGCAGAGATCTTCTACATGCCAGCCTTGCTCCTGTTCACTGGGAGCCAGATTGTGGTTCCCTCACTTGGAGGCTATGTCTATACTGCACCCATTTTGTGCAAGAAATATGCAAATGAGGCTAAGCGTGGAATATCACTGTGTCTCATTTGCATAATTACTGAGCGCCCACTTTTTGCACAAGAGAATTTTGCGCAAGAGCCGTTTTTCCGGAAAAAAATGTGGATGAACGTCTCTTGCACAAGAGGGTTTTTTTGCGCAAAAGCCTCTTGTGCAAAAAGTGGGTGCTAATTAATTATTCAAATGAGGCTAAGCGATATTCATTTGCGTATTTCTTGCCTATTTCTTGCACAAAACAGGTGCAGTATAGACATAGCCCTGGTGAGGAGCACCATCCTCTGCAAGAAAGGTTGACTTCAGCACAGCCTAGCACTACTCACTGGCATCATAAGCTGGCCCTAAACCACCCTGCCTCTTTGATAGAACAATGCCACTGATCAGTCCCAAAGCCACCTCCATGAGGAAAGCAGAAACAGACACATGCATAGACTTAGCACATCAAATGCTCCCCACCACACTGAAAAGCAAAGGAACAAAACTCCAGGTCCTAGTGTGGACTGCAGAAGCAGACTACTGAATATAGCCATCATGTAGGGCCAGCCTGTGGTTCCCTTGCTCACTGGAGTCAACGGGGATACTCACGGAGTAAGGTGCAACTCACCAGGAGAGGATCAGAATTTGGCCCTTTCCATATACTGTTGTCCCTCTCATGTACTGTGGCTGCTCCCACTTAGGGTTTGCTTCAACTCCTCCTGCAAATCCAACCCCTATTCTCACCTGATCGCCTGGAGAAGCCAATTGTTTCCATGAAGTGAGGTAGCGCTTCAGGCAAGTAAGGAAGCCAGTCAGGCTCTTCAGAAAGAGGGCAGCACCTGGCTGATACTTCTTAGGGTACGTCTACACTGCAAGGCTATTTTGGGATACAGGAGGTATCCCGAAATAGCAACCCTGCATCTTCACAAGCCGCCCATTATTTCAAAATATTGTTCGAAATAATGGACGTGCTATTTCACTGGTTTTCTGGTAAACCTCATTGCACGAGAAATAAAGGATGGCTTGAAACAGTGCGGGTATGTCTACACTACCCCGCTAGTTCGAACTAGCGGGGTAATGTATGCATACCGCACTTGCTAATGAAGCCCGGGATTTGAATTTCCCGGGCTTCATTAGCATAAGCGGGGAGCCGCCTTTTTTAAATCCCCTCTGCTTCGAACCCCGTGCAGCGCGGCTACACGGGGCTCGAACTAGGTAGTTCGGACTAGGTTCCTATTCCGAACTACCGTTACTCCTCGTGAAACGAGGTGTACCGGTAGTTCGGAATAGGCACCCTAGTCCGAAC